GATGAGCAAGACCCTAGTGAGAGTTTGTCTTTCATATAGGACTTGTTTGTTTTTTGGATCAAGAGGTAAGTTTATTTACTCAACACAAAAATTAAATCATTACAACCTCTTGGGTGGTCCTTTTGAAGATCCCTGTCCCTCTGCACTGTGACTTGTTCATACATATCGTAACCTCCCGTTATTTTTATTTTGGGTATAACTGTAGCACTTGTACAGTTGGGCCTGGTATAACTGAAGTACTTGTACAGTTGGGTGGGTATTACTGAAGCATTTGTACAGTTGGGTGGGTATTACTGTAGCACTTGTACAGTTAGGCCTAGTATAACTGTAGCACTTGTACAGTTGGCCTGGTATAACTGTATCACTTGTACAGTTGGGTGGGTATAACTGTAGCACTTGTACAGTTAGGTCTGGTATAACTGTAGCACTTGTACAGTTGGGCGGGTATAACTGTAGCACTTGTACAGTTAGGTCTGGTATAACTGTAGCACTTGTACAGTTGGGCGGGTATAACTGTAGCACTTGTACAGTTGGGTGGGGATTACTGTAGCACTTGTACAGTTGGGTGGGGATAACTGTAGCACTTGTACAGTTGGGTGGGGATTACTGTAGCACTTGTACAGTTGGGTGGGTATAACTGTAGCACTTGTACAGTTGGGTGGGTATTACTGTAGTACTTGTACAGTTGAGTCTGGTATAACTGTAGCACTTGTACAGTTGGGTGGGTATAACTGTAGCACTTGTACAGTTGGGTCTGGTATAACTGTAGCACTTGTACAGTGGAGTCTGGTATAACTGTAGCACTTGTACAGTTGGGTGGGTATAACTGTAGCACTTGTACCGTTGGGTCTTATATAACTGTATAACTTGTACAGTTGGGTGGGTACAACTGTATAACTTGTACAGTTGAGGGCGGTATAACTGTAGCACTTGTACAGTTAGGTCTGGTATAACTGTAGCTCTTGTACAGTTGGGTGGGTATAACTGTAGCACTTGTACAGTTGGGTCTGGTATAACTGTAGCACTTGTACAGTTGGGTGGGTACAACTGCATAACTTGTACAGTTGGGTGGGTATAACTGTAGCACTTGTATAGTTGGGTCTGGTATAACTGTAGCACTTGTACAGTTGGGTGGGTACAACTGTATAACTTGTACAGTTGAGGGCGGTATAACTGTAGCACTTGTACAGTTAGGTCTGGTATTACTGTAGCACTTGTACAGTTGGCCTGGTATAACTGTAGCACTTTTACAGTTGGGTGGGTATAACTGTAGCACTTGTACAGTTGGGTCTTGTATAACTGTATAACTTGTACAGTTGGGTGGGTACAACTGTATAACTTGTATAGTTGGGTGGGTATAACTGTAGCACTTGCACAGTTGGGTGGATATAACTGTAGCACTTGTACAGTTGGGTGGGTACAACTGTATAACTTGTATAGTTGGGTGGATATAACTGTAGCACTTGCACAGTTGGGTGGGTATAACTGTAACACTTGTACAGTTGGCCTGGTATAACTGTAGCACTTGTGCAGTTGGGTGGGTATTATTGTAGCACTTGTACAGTTGGGTGGGTATAACTGTATAACTTGTACGGTTGGGTCTGGTATAACTGTAGCACTTGTACAGTTGGCCTGGTATAACTGTAGCACTTGTACAGTTGGGTGGGTATAACTGTATAACTTGTAAAGTTGGGCCTGGTATAACTGTATAACTTGTACAGTTTGGCCTGGTATAACTGTATAACTTGTACAGTTGGGTCTGGTATAACTGTAGCACTTGTACAGTTGGGTGGGTATAACTGTAGCACTTGTACAGTTGGGTCTTGTATAACTGTATAACTTGTACAGTTGGGTGGGTATAACTGTATAACTTGTATAGTTGGGTGGGTATAACTGTAGCACTTGCACAGTTGGGTGGATATAACTGAAGCACTTGTACAGTTGGCCTGGTATAACTGTATAACTTGTACAGTTGGGTCTGGTATAACTGTATAACTTGTACAGTTGGGTGGGTATAACTGTAGCACTTGTACAGTTGGGTCTTGTATAACTGTATAACTTGTACAGTTGGGTGGGTACAACTGTATAACTTGTATAGTTGGGTGGGTATAACTGTAGCACTTGCACAGTTGGGTGGATATAACTGTAGCACTTGTACAGTTGGGTGGGTACAACTGTATAACTTGTATAGTTGGGTGGATATAACTGTAGCACTTGCACAGTTGGGTGGGTATAACTGTAACACTTGTACAGTTGGCCTGGTATAACTGTAGCACTTGTGCAGTTGGGTGGGTATTATTGTAGCACTTGTACAGTTGGGTGGGTATAACTGTATAACTTGTACGGTTGGGTCTGGTATAACTGTAGCACTTGTACAGTTGGCCTGGTATAACTGTAGCACTTGTACAGTTGGGTGGGTATAACTGTAGCACTTGTACAGTTGGGTCTTGTATAACTGTATAACTTGTACAGTTGGGTGGGTACAACTGTATAACTTGTATAGTTGGGTGGGTATAACTGTAGCACTTGCACAGTTGGGTGGATATAACTGTAGCACTTGTACAGTTGGGTGGGTACAACTGTATAACTTGTATAGTTGGGTGGATATAACTGTAGCACTTGCACAGTTGGGTGGGTATAACTGTAACACTTGTACAGTTGGCCTGGTATAACTGTAGCACTTGTGCAGTTGGGTGGGTATTATTGTAGCACTTGTACAGTTGGGTGGGTATAACTGTATAACTTGTACGGTTGGGTCTGGTATAACTGTAGCACTTGTACAGTTGGCCTGGTATAACTGTAGCACTTGTACAGTTGGGTGGGTATAACTGTAGCACTTGTACTGTTGGGCCTGGTATAACTGTAGCACTTGTACAGTTGGGCCTGGTATAACTGTAGCACTTGTACAGTTGGCCTGGTATAACTGTAGCACTTGTACAGTTGGGTGGGTATAACTGTAGCACTTGTACTGTTGGGCCTGGTATAACTGTAGCACTTGTACAGTTGGGTCTGGTATAACTGTAGCACTTGTACAGTTGGCCTGGTATAACTGTAGCACTTGTACAGTTGGGTGGGTATAACTGTAGCACTTGTACTGTTGGGCCTGGTATAACTGTAGCACTTGTACAGTTGGGCCAAGTATAACTGTAGCACTTGTACAGTTGGGTGGGTATAACTGTAGCATTTGTTCTGTTGGGCCTGGTATAACTGTAGCACTTGTACAGTTGGGTCTTGTATAACTGTATAACTTGTACAGTTGGGTCTGGTATAACTGTAGCACTTGTACTGTTGGGTCTGGTATAACTGTAGCACTTGTACTGTTGGGTCTGGTATAACTGTAGCACTTGTACTGTTGGGTCTGGTATAACTGTAGCACTTGTACTGTTGGGTCTGGTATAACTGTAGCACTTGTACTGTTGGGTCTGGTATAACTGTAGCACTTGTACTGTTGGGTCTGGTATAACTGTAGCACTTGTACTGTTGGGTCTGGTATAACTGTAGCACTTGTACTGTTGGGTCTGGTATAACTGTAGCACTTGTACAGTTGGGTCTGGACACGTCTGTTGACCAGGTAGTTCAGTCGGTTGGAGTTATTGTATAATAAAGTGAGGTCTAAGGTTCGAACCCTGGTTGATTAAATGGTAGATTTAGCTTAGAAATTCACAACGAACTTGTAGGTCCCATAATCATAAACAGGGCTGTGATAAAATTAAACTTTATAATAAAAAAAAAACTGGACATAAACTTCAAGAGGAGACTTTTCTGGAATTATCCAAAGGATTTCAAATATCATTTCACCCAAAGTGTATGTCTTATTTAAATCACATGATCCTAGCATTTAAGGTCAACTCTTAGACACCAATGTATGTGAGAATATGATCACAATATTCATAGCCCAAGGTTTATTTTTGGATAATTTCAGTGTGAAATGAGCTCACACAGCATACATTTTATTCATAACTTCCATTTTTGAGAGAAATATACAGATTTTCCCCAATGATCAGATGGAGGATTCTGTTTAGACAGGTCATAAGTCAACAAAGCCTTCTACCGTATGTTATCGGCAATAAGCCCCACCTCCTGAGAAAAAAGATGGGCCAAAAGTTGGGAGGGGGCTTAATGGCGAGCAACCCCCCTATAGTATTAATATCACATCAGTGTGGTATTATGACAAAAACAACCAGAGGTTCTAAGTGACCAGTACCCCCCTCCCTCTTAATTACCCTTCCCTCTTCACCCTCCTGATGATTCCAAACAGAGGCTCTTTGGGTTTTTTCACACCAAAATGAGGTTTTGTAAATTTCAGAAAAAAGATTATCACCAAGGCTGAGATTACTCTTTCTATATCCCACAAGGGCAAATGCTTCTTATTTTTCGACAATATGGAGAAATCAACATTGAAATGCAGCACTGATCTTAAGCTTATTCAGTCATGACTGTACATGAACAGTACTTCCATTAATGTCCATGTACAATTTACTTTGATAAGCTTTATGATAGTGATGGGTTGATGGATTAAAATCGAAAATTGATCAGTTGCCCTTTCCAAATCGTGATTATCGATTACAAATTCCATAAAATATATCATGGGTTCAGTATTGAAATCCAGGTGTCAAATATAAACAATGTAAAGTATGCATTGAAAGTCATTAATTCCTATGATTTTACTACATGATTGACAAAACTGCATAAAGTTGCTTGAAATCCATTCATTTCAAAGGAGCGAAACCTGAAGTATAGTTATTTTAACATCGATGGCTGTTGATGTAATAGTGGTGTTGTCAATTTCTTTGGGTATTTAGTTCCATAGAATTATAAACTGATTATACAATCGATCATCAATCGGATTACTACTTCCGATTACAAACCGAACATTAATTATGATTTTAAGCTGAATGCCCCGCACTACTTCATGTGTAAGTAAGCAATGAAGAGTGGAGCTGTCTCAGTTTTAGTTTTGTACTTAAGATATTAAAAAAATCATAAATAGACAAGTTTACCTTCCAAAAGTTGTTTTTGATAAACAGGAGCATGTTGAGTAGCTTGACTTCCCGTTTGTAGCCTTTCTCCCTGACAAACAGTAGATCAAGTAAATGTGATCCAACATGCTGACCCATGTCTGACAGTCTGCAAAATAATAAGAAAATAAATGTATCCTTTAACATGTAACTATGTACTTGTATGTGAAATGGACAACATCATCTGGTACATGTACGCTATTAGTATTGGTAAACACACTAGAAAACCACACCATAATGCTGAGAGTTCAATATATTTATTTAATATAGGTTTAAATATATATTTGACTGTTGGCTTTTACGTTGTTTGAAACTGTGGAGCCCTGGTTGATGGACATCTTGATTATATATATATTTACATTTTTATTATTGATCAACTGGCTTCTTTTAAATGACTTTAAAAACCTTCAGTGGTTTTAGCTGATATTGGTTAGAGCATGCTATATACGTGTACTAGAAGGCTTGTATCCTACCCACTATCAACAAAACTTTTACGTGTGCTAGCTGTGACCGGGAAAATGTGGTAGGCGTGGTTCCAAATTAAGCTAACAGACAAACAGACAAGACTGTGTTCATTAAAATGTTTTCCAAGCTACATTCCACATACACAATATAAACACCCCGATGACAAATGTGTCACTCACTTGTTCTGGAGTTCCGATACGCTGTACACCCGATTCTGACTGTACTGGACGATTTCCGAGAACAACAGAGCAAACGTTGCAATGTTCACCTGTAAATGTATAACACAAGCTCCGTTATTTATGGATTTTGAACAGAAAATACTTCAATAAAAATGTGCATATCTGTATATACACTTTGCCTACCTCTGGCTTCCCCCTGCCGAGAGGTTTATCTAGATTGCTCGACTTCTGTTTTGTTGTGGTAGACATCTTGGAACGGAAGTAGAACTCTCTATAACTTTTTATTTTATCTGGACGCAGTATTATTCTCGCGGGAATTTTAAAGTTAGGTAATGTATTGTAGGTAGCGTATGCTACGCCTCGGTGTACTATTTTAAAAGGACGTACTTGTTTATTTGAAAATATCTTACCTTATTATAGATCTATAATGTGTTTATCGAATGTCTATGGTTTGGACATAGGATATCGAAAAACTATATTAAACAGCGCATACCGGCAGCAGGGACAGTATGTCAATTAGTCTGACATCTATACCAGGAAAATATTTACAAAGACTAATTCGCGACAAAATCGTAGAACACATGGACAATAACAACCTTTTCACTTCTCACCAACACGATTTTCGAGCTGGAAAGTCCTGTACAACAAACCTACTTGAAGTAATGGAACACTGGGCAGAGACAATTGACAAAGGTGAAAACATGGATACTATATACTTGGACTTCAGTAAAGCATTCGACAAAGTCCCTCACAAATGTTTACTAAAAAAACCTTCAAGGTTACGGAATAACTGGTAAAATCCTCCAGTGGATTAAAGATTTCCTTTCAAATCTAAAACAACGAGTATCCATTAATGGGGAATTGTCTGGTCTGGTGGATGTAACGAGTGGTGTGCCCCAGGGTAGTGTCCTTGATCCAGTTTTTTTTCCTAATCTATGTCAATGACCTACCTGATATAGTCGAACACAGTGTAGTAAAACTTTTTGCTGATGACTCAAAACTTTTCAAAAACATTTCTAGGCAAACAGGGTCTGCAGAACTACAAACTGATATCAATAACATTGTCCAATGGACATCAGATTGGAAAATGAAATTGAACACCAAAAAATGTAAACATCTAAATATTGGTAACCTAAATCAAGATTCTACATACTACTTCCCCTCAGGTGAACAGATTGAGAAAGTTACTAAAGAAAAAGACCTAGGTGTTATAATTGACATCAAATTGAAATTTAACCACCATGTAAGTCAATCTATTAACAAAGGTAATCGCACACTAGGATTAATCTTTAGGACATTTACCTATATGGACAAAACTATGTTTCTTGCACTTTGCAAGAGTCTCATTAGGCCCAACTTAGAATATGCCACCCAGGTCTGGTCCCCTTTTCTGAAAAAGGACCAAATAGCTTTAGAAAATGTGCAGCGTAGAGCTACCAAAAGAATTCAATCTTTAAAACACCTTTCTTACAATTCAAGAATACTACGACTAGGCTTACCTACACTGGAATACAGAAGAAAACGAAATGACCTAGTAGAAGTTTACAACATAATAAACAACATCGACATTCTTGATAAAGATAAACTATTTACATTCACACAAACAACAACAAGGGGTAACAACAAAAAACTATTCAAAAAACAGAGCAGGACCAGGGTCACTCAAAATGTTTTTAGCGGAAGAGTGGTGGATTCTTGGAATTCCCTTCCCAAATCAGTAGTAGAAGCCCCTTCTCTTAACTGTTTTAAATCTAGATTAAACATCTGTTGGAAAAATATACCGTCCAAGTTTTATCCTAGTTTTTATGCTACACAACCGGTTAACGGTATGTTACCAAACCAAGATGCGCCTATATTAGCAATTTAGCTAACAACAGTGTCGAAGAAGAGGTAAACAAGTATATCCATTATACGTCCCTGCCGGCAGTAAAGCAGAGATGTACTGTATAAGTTATACATATATAATTATATGTATGGAATAAAAACATATTTTTTTCAGATCGTCCGCTAGGCCTTTCTACCTTCTAGGGCTTCTTTGGGCGGATTCTATGTATTAATTATATGTATGTACAACAGGGACCTGATAATTTGTTACAGCTATACTTGGACATAAACTAAGGTGTTTCGGAGTATTTTTACTCGTTTTAGGCGCTTAGTTCGACTTTCGGTAAAAATGTCACCCATAATAATAACTTTACATATGCGTATAGTTTAGATCCTAATATAGCTGAAACAAATGATCAGATCCCTGTGATATATAGGTATGTAAGTCAAGAAATAGGTATAGGACCTAGTTCCTCCCGGTGCAGCAAATGACACAAGACACTACCATTTCGAGAAATAGATACACGACATTATTGCCACAATTTCTTATTTGGACAACCAATTTATCACGTGACTACATTGTGACGTCACGGCAAACTTAGAGACGAAAGTGCTATTGAATATTCCGATCATAAAGAACTTCCTTTTCCTGTGGTTTGGGTTGTTTGGTTTTAATGGGTTGTTTTAATAAGGATTTAGCAATCCGAGTGGTTTTTGTTTTACAAAATATGCATTAATCAATGCATTAATCTTTAACACTAGCAAGAATCGAAAAAAAAAATGATCAGGGCTCAGGATAGCTGTGTAGTATAATATCCTGTTACCGACAGATTCGAAACTAGATTACATTATCCATCTTGTACCGCTGATGCGAGAGGAACAAGTGCATGAAGCCAATCGAGACATCGTTTCATGCATTTTTGCACGTGCGCACGTGACTCAGTTGTGGACCGACATTTTTTCGAGATTATGTTATTGTAAAGTTTCCTATATGTTATATTATTACTTCCTTTTTTGTTTATAGTCGATCACATTTCATTTCAATTATGATCAGTATGTGAAAAATTCGCCGGCGTTGTTACGGTGAAAGTAAGGGTAAGGCATATTTTATAAATGGTTAGTTAGAAAATCAATTTCATATTCTATTCATATAATCAAAAACTTATGACACTTCCTGAAAAAAACGATGTTTAAAAAAATCTGTCCAATCAATATTTGAGCATCGGTCGGAAATCTTCATTTAGAAACGAAGCTACTAATCCGAGTACACCAATACAACTAGCGATATGTGTGGGTATGCCAACATTAGATTGTTACATCTGTGTATTGAATACAAGAGTAGTGGCCCGTGCATCCTAATTAAAATTCTGGTATTTAAAGTGGGGAGGGTCTTTTTCATCAAGAAAAGAAACCATATAATTTTTTGATTCATATTTCTGGTTCACCCAAAAAGGCAGTTGCATGACATAAAAAATGAACACGATACTATTAAAATTTCAGTATTAATGACTTCAGCCTTGAACTTCGAAAGAGTTCCATACTTAAAGAGTTACTGAAGATGTAAAACAATATCAAATGAATGGTACTTCGTTAGTTAATGAATGCATGGCACATTTGAAATGTACATTGTCTAGCCTATAAGAACTCATGCCGATTGATAACGCCCTTGTAAACGCTCAAGGGAGATAACAAATCAGAAGTATAATGTGTAAGGCAACATGCAGCCTTAAAATACACCTTTATATTTCTACATTACGCTACTTCAATGCCGTACCCATATCAGATTCTAGTCACGGTTGGAGATTTAGCCCATCATTATGTGTTTATTTGGTAAATGTATATCATTATCAAGATATTTAAATAATTTCTTTACATTCGATTAATACAAAAAATGATTTCAAATGTGCAACTTTAATTGCGACTTTCCATATACGTGCATATTTCTCAATATATGTAAATAACTATGTGATACGCAAACATAAAATAATAAGTGTGTATCATTGTTCTGACTATATGTTTTTTCAGGTCTGCATTAAAATTGCCATACATTGTAATCTATATTTTGAGGAAATAATGGAAATAAATATAAAAATCACATTACGGTAGAATTTTACGTCAAAATGAAGATTTCTTTTGAAGAAATGCCATGGCACATACCGTTTGCGTTAGCAGATATACATCTGTTTATCTTTTTCTTTGTGATTTTCCTTCGCAAAACTGCGATTCAATTAACGATTCGATTTTCTCTCTTTGAAATTCTAACCCTGAATATATTGTCCACAAAATTAATAGACCAAATAACCTGCCGTAGTTTTTCTTCTCTTCTACTAGTTTTTTTGCGGATTTAGTAAAATAATATAGCCAAACATGATCTCCCATTGTTGTTTTCTTATCAAGTGAAATTTAACACCTTATCGACTTTGGTTTTTGTTAATTGTTTTTAAATCAAATTACAATTGCATGAAATTTTCAAACTTGCGAAATTAACATAAATCATACTCTTAACTTTGACCCTTCCACTGATTTTTGTTCATGGGTGGGTGAGTAAAACACCAACAGACTAGTCTATGCGTCCAAATGTTTTGACAAAATATACATTGTTTCTCGTTTAAATAAGATAAACTCAAGGTATCTGTGAACTGTTGACACGGTAGCGTATCTCGTCTGTTGGCGAAAAAATCTGTCTATTACTAGTAAAACGATACTAAATTTCCTTCCATTTATACCAAAGCATTAATTGATCGTTATTTATAGATTAATAAAAAGTTAAATTTGGATTGTTTATTGAATTTAATTAATTAGAGGAAGAAATGCCATGTAATGTTTATACTCCTTAAAATAAAAAAGGATAACCAAATAAGATCTGCGTGGTTAGAAAGAAAAATTAAATTTGACTTTATTTGAGCATTGGAGCAATTTTGTATGTACGGTCGAGCGATCCGGCCAGGGTGCAACTTTGTCCATTATTAGAAAATGTAGTTTAAATACCTTCATTTTAATCATCTTCTTTGAACTTTATCAAGGTTCGGATCTGAAATCATTGTTACGTCAAATACCCTCGGGATAACATTTTCAGGTAACTGAAGCGTCTATAACGATAAGATCAAACAGTTTGTGACTGAATACTTTTAGTTTAGAAACCTAAAACATTCTGTACCTTTATATAAAGTAAAAAATAGCGATGTAATTAAAACAAATACTGATACCCTGTTTCACATTAAGTTCTTATTTATACTAAACATATAAAACGAGAAAAGTTCACTAAATCAATGCCTTTCTTTATTAATTTTGGAATCTAAAACAACGGTGAGTGAATACAGTTCACGAAATCAAAGTCGGTTCTCATTTGTCTGCAATGTATACCAAACATCAGCGGGTTTGATATAGCCCCGCCCATCCGTGTTCGTTACACAAATATCATTTCAGCATGGTCGGTGTAAA